GCTCTAAACCCTAAACCCTAAACCCTAAACCCTAAACCCTGAAGGCTTACATGAAGGGGATTCCAGTCCATTGCAAACCCTTCTGTCCCGTGGCCTTTAAATTCAAAAGTCGGCTTCTGGTGAGGGTCCGGCGGAGGGCCTGAAGATATGACAAACCCTAAACCCTAAACCCTAAACCCTAAACCCCAAACCCTGAAAGTATATTTTGTATGCCAAACCGTGGCTTACAAAATACACTTTCAGGGTGCTTACAAACCCTCACTGCCTCCGCGCTGCAAAGCCTCTGCCCAGAACCCGTAACCCTAAAAACCCTAAACCCTAAACCCTAAACCCTAAACCCTAAACCCTAAACCCTCACCTGCAGCGCCCGGCTCGTCCAGCCTCTTGAGGTGCTTCTCAATATCCCAAACGCCAACCACCCCCAAGTCTGACCACGCAGCCACGAGGCGCGGCATCTGTCCACAAACCCTAAACCCTAAACCCTAAACCCTAAACCCCTGGGCCTTGAGCAGCAAAGACACAAATGAACAACTTCAGAGCTGCAAACTGTCTTGGGTGTTTCTTTGGGACAAAAAGCCTCGAGAAATAAATCCCCACGCTCTCTTAAACCCTAAACTCTAAACTCTAAACCCTAAACCCTAAACCCTAAACCCTAAACCCTTGCCTGGGGGCAGCAGCGAATTCTGTTAACGGCCCCTTTGTGGGCAATCAGGCGGAAATCCAACTTGGCGTCTTCGCCGGTGTCATCTTCGTCGCTCTGCACGCCCAAATCCTAAACCCTAAACCCTAAACCCTAAACCCTAAACCCTAAACCCCGAAGCCAAAAATCGCTGTTGCGCAGAGAGCGCTGGTTGCTGCTGCGCGTCGCCGCGCGAGCCGGTCGCGCCGTGTCCGCCTCGCGCAACGCCCAAACCCTAAACCCCAAACCCTAAACCCTAAACCCTAAACCCTAATTTAGGGTTTACCGATTCGCCGGAAAGCGAGCTGGAGTCGTCGTGCTGCGTCTTGTGGAGACGATCCCACTTCATGATGTAAAGACAATTTTCTTTTCCGTCGCTTTGAGTGCCCCCCACGGCGTAGCAGGTGTGGGGGCACCGCGTGCGCGCCTGCAGCCAAACCCTAAACCCTAAACCCTAAACCCTAAACCCTAGACCCCAAACCCTAAACCCTAGGCGGCCTTCCCTGCGGCGCCGCCCGTAGAGATGAGGCCAAACCAGCGCACGGGCGAAACGGGTGGCCAGGCCCGCTGCGCCCTCTCGCGCTCAAGTCGAGGGTTTAGGGTTTAGGGTTTAGGGTTTAGGGTTTAGGGTTTACGGCGCCGAGCTGGTCTGGAATGAAGTCAAAAGAAAGACAGGGCCAAGCCGTCTGCAGCCTGTGGAGAAGTTCGTAGGCGCTCGAGTCGCACTCCAGCACCTCGCCTGCCACA